CCCCCCCCCCCCCCCAGGCTTAACTGCTTATAGAATTGCTTGATGTTTTGCCATTTTCTTTTTCTGTCAGCAAGTGTGAACTCACATAGAACGACATGTAAAAAGGCCCCCTTTCACTCAAAACCATTCAAGATGATTCAAGGCAACTTAAGCCTTCTGGATCTCTTCTATTAATTCTTGACTCATGTGCACAAGTTCAATAATATAGCACATGATATAAATGCAGGCTAAATTGCAATTTATAGAGCGATTGTGCTTATAACTCTCTATGCCATATCTTCCTGCGAAGGCATCTTTTTGACACATCTTGACTGGCCTGAGTGATCAGTGATGAAAGAAAGTCTGCTTAAGGAGGCTAGTCCAAGCACAGATTACTTTCCTCAGCTGGCTTGATGAAATATAGTTCATCAATAATGTCATCCATTTATTCAAACTTTTTAAATATGTAATATACAAAATGATATATCTTTCAATTTTTTTTCTTTAACTGAAACAAACTGAACATGGCTTTAATTTAAATGAATATTTAAATAAGTTCAAACCTTACTTTACAAGTGGCTTTTCTCTTTTCCGAAAGATGGTATTTCCTGGCTTTGTAGTGGACCAATACCTTCATTTAAATTTTTCAACGCTTTTTTGATACCAAAAGTAAAACTTAACTAAATTTACACATCTATTTACAAAATTAATCTTTGGGAAAATTCCTCTTGGATGATCCGGATTGAGATCAGTGATCAAAGATCACTTGGCACATCAAAGCAACTGATGAATCCTGGTCCAGAGTGGATTCAGCAGTTCCTTTGACACACTATGATCTGAATGGTCTTCATTCATTGATCCTGATCCAGATCGACCCAAAGGGATGCACTATTTGTCATGTGTAACACAACGCTTTATGTAGCCTGTCATTTTATACAGTACTTTTCATTTAGGATTGCCACGGTATAATCCTCATCACCTGAAACGCAACTCTTGTAGTGTGAAATTGTAACAGTTACTCTTTTGCTGTTCCTTATAGGATCAGTAGTCGTGGACATTTGTCATCGCAATTGTTTCTCAAGGTATACTTCTTGTAGCATGACATTTTAAGCTCGTTATACTCCTTAATCTCGTTCCCAGACCACACTCTATTTGACACTTAGCCGTGGGAAATCTGGGTTCAAGGTTAAATACTCCTCAGTTCAAACAAACGTGCCTTGGATATGTTGAAACATTTCATCTTGGTCGCCATATTCCTCTGTAAAAGAGGCATCTTCACCGAATTGCACCTCAAAAAGACTGTAATTTGAGGTCGGTCTTGGGCGGCGATTTAACTGTTGTGGTTTTTCATCGCTGAAAGATAAAAACGGCGAAGACATTTCAATGACCTTATCTCTTTTTAGGCTCTTTGTTAGCCCTGACGTATAATTTTGATGCAGGACAAGGAGGGCAAAAAAAGATTCTTTATATCATGGTTGACCCAGTTTCACTCGTAAGACCAACAGTTACCGAATTCTACACAAACTGAGTTACAGATTCAGCCTTTTAATTCAAGCTCGCTTAGAGTAACACCTCAAAATAAACTGACATGTTCGAAGTTTCTGGCCATGTTGACACAGATGTAGACGTAAAAAAGATTTTTTTAAAACGATTCAAATTCGTGGTTCATAATCTGCCTTTTGGAATCTTCACCAACCTCATTCCTCGTTTGGGTTTTTATACAGCATTTTTTTCCCATTTTCACATGAGCTTGTACAGAATAATAAACGGCTAGATATATTTTGACATGGTTCTTCAACTGGCGTGTGCACAGGCTCTAACAAGTAGCTGGATATAAATCTATAGATGGATGTTATGTTTTGATTTGTTAACTTACGGTGGTGTGTTTTCAGAGTCCACAACTAAGCTATTCGTTCCTTCTTCGTCGCTTTTTTCTTCGGATTGTGGTACTTCGTCTCTACAGCCTCGTTTTTTCTCGCGTTTTGCAACTAAAAAATAAGCAGAAGAAAGTATAATTAATAGCTAAGTATTCAGATCATTTCGTGTAAGAAATTATCTACTCAAACTCATTAAACAGAGGAAATCACGACCGTGACAGTGTTTGGATATCTGATCTTAATTATAATAGATTTTTACGATTTCATACCTTCGTTTTCTCCTTCGCTTTAGTTTCGATTGACAAGATATATCAAACACTCAAGATAGTGTTTGACCACATTTCCAAACACCTTGAATGAAGTTCGCCAAAAATGCTCCGCTTCGCGTCGTGTTCTCTTCTCGGTGTTTGGAAATGTGGTCAAACACGGTCTTTCGTGTTTGATATATTAACTATACAGCCATCTGGAGTACTTGTGATTCAGCTATCATTTAAGCATAACTAAGGCTTTCGATGATAGTACAATATATTACAATACAGGGGAATTGCAAAATAACCTATATTTCATTATGGTATTTCAGTTACTCCTCCAGGTTCACGTAGGTCTGATGTATCGTTTCTTTGCGTTACTCTTTGATGTGTAACGTTATGTTACGTTTCTCTAATTTTTTTTTTTTATTGTTCCGAAAGTAACGACCGTCGTTGTTGGTCTGACAGTGTCTTTTCACTACCTGTACTTTCGAAGGGTCGCTAAAACGATTACCAAATTTTGACCGATTCATTTTACTAAAGTAGGAATGTGTTCTCTCTGTAGAGATTTGAAAAGGGTAAATGCTGTTTAATATAATGCATATTACATCAAAACAGAGCAAATTTAAAAAATTCATTCTTACTTTCTAAGGGTCGCTTCTTTGGGGGACGGGCTGGAGTCATCACTTTTGGGACTTTACGTTCCGTTACGTTACGATACGTTACGTTACTTTACGTAATAATTCACTGCATTACCATTGTATTTAACGCCTTTTCCTTTGTATTTACGGTAGAGAACAAGAAGCGACGCGAACAAGATCGCACAAGCGACGAGAGCAAGCACAGTGAGAAACCAAGCCGTGCGGTAGATAGGAGTTTCTTGATTTTGCCGCGCACCTGAAGGGGGAAAAAAAAGAAAAATTAATATTTATTGAGATAGAAGAAAACTTCGAACGAATAGTTTCTTACAAAAACAAAAACAACAACAACAACAAAACAAGAAGTAATATTGAATGACACTTTCTTTCAATAGGCATTATATGGAACCAATCAAAAGTAGGAATGCAAAACCCGAGCCAATCGGAACGAAAACAGACGCTAGTCACCGGTTGGCTAATGCGGGAGAAGATACACAGGCTGTTATTGGCACCCGTTGCATGTTTTCCTGCGCTTTTTACCGTTAACATTAGTTTCCGCGCGCTTTTCGCCTTTAACATTAGTTTTCCCCGCGCTTGGAACCGGTTATGTGCGTTTTTCCCGCACTTAGAGCCGGTTGTATCTTTTTTACGTGTTTCACGCGTTTTCTCGCGCTTGGCGCCCGTTGTATATTTTCCCGCGTTTAATAACGGTTTTGACTGGCCCTGCCATTAACGAGATCCTGTTGCTTTAGTTTTGGACAAGCGCAGTCTTAAACAACCATTCCACTTAGAGTTTGTAAAATACACGTACGTACCAACTTTAGTTTCATTGCTCTTGCAAGAGGTCTCCGCTGTTAAACTAGGGCGACTAGCTCCAACGCTGTTGACTGCTTTCATGCGGAAACGTGGCACAGACCCCTTACTCAGCTTTAAGAAGACGCTTGTTGTATTGGGGTTAGTAACAGTAAGCAGTGATAAGAACACCCCGGGGTTCCCACTCGATTCTTGCTCAATCAGGTAGTGAGTGATGGAGGCATTGTCTGAGGGATCTGGGACCCAGGATAGTTTCGCAGTCCAATCTTTGCAGTCTGATAGTTTAACATTTGTCGGAGGCAAAGGAACAGCTGAGAATATTAAGCAAATAAAAAGAAGAACGTAAATATGACGTACGATAATCAGTAAATTCTGCAATATTCAGAGAATAACGTGTGAGTTCAAGTTGTTCAAAAGACTTTTTCTTTCGATTTATAGTTTTCGAGGATTTCCCTTACGTCATCGAGCCTCTTCTCTCAAAGAACCTTTATATTGGGACAGTTGACTTGGTCACAGAGAAAACCATAAGCCAAAAAAATCTTGACCACTACATTGCGCCTTGCATACGGCTGGCGCGGCTAAAATTTGTAATTTCCAAAACCATACCTTATTGTAAAAAGTAAAAAACATGAAATATTTTGTGGATCCAAGTGTTAATTTGGCGCCAAAAATGGGTCGCCCGCGTCCTTTAACTCACTCGTAGTTCGTCAAGTGTCGCCGGGTTGGAAAAAAAGTTGTGTTATTGTGAACAAAATATGTTATTCCTCATCAAATTAAGCCGAGAATTCTCGAAAAAAATATTAGAAGAGGCCAAAGAGACTTAAGCACCTCTAATTTTTTAGCTGCGAAGAGAAAGACCATTACCGTGTCGTGTCCGAAGTTCGGTTTAGACTGCCGCTAGTGCTGCGGGCGCAGTCGCCATATGCAAGGCGGACATAACCATATGAAAAGGTGATTTCAAATATTTACAAGTGATTTCAATTCTGTCACGTTATACTACTTACAGAACACATGAAGATACGCATTTGCTTTGACGCCTGCACTTAAACCGTTGTCCGCTGAACACCAGTATCGTCCGGCATGACTCCTCAAGGCGACAAAGGTCAGTTTGCTTCCTGTCCCCACATTCCGCCCATCCTTAGTCCATGTTATCTTCGGGGTTGGGTTTCCAGTGGCACTGCATTGAAGTGTCACTGTAGTGTTCTCGACCACTCTCTGGTCTCGTGGTTTGGCGATTAAACGTGGCTGAACTGTGAATATATAGCGAAAGTCTATGGGTACATGGAAGACAATACACTAGTCGGTTGAAAAAAGGGCCGTTCCACCTCGGACGTAAGGCTAATTGTAAACAGCGGAAAGAGACTTTTAATTGATTCGACAAATTGTATTTAATGGTGCATGGAGATAAAAAAAGAACAAGAATCTGAGAGTAAATAGAAATTCAATTTGATCAAACCCCGTGTCATCTTTAATTTGCATGAATCTGTAAACCCGCGTAGAAAAAAAAAACGCAAAAATAGTTCCATGAACTTAAGTTTTCTGTCAATAGCTCGAACTTGAACAATGCAAGTTAGTTCCTTAATTACCTCAATTTATCCCCTTCCTGTGGGGTACGTTCTCCCATTCCAGTTTTATTTTAAACTGTGTCTTAATCAAGAATATCAGGTGTACCAATCACGACATTTGTTGTAATATATGCATAACATTACGACTTGAATCGGAAATAGGTCAGAAGCTCATTTGCTTGGCCAAACAAAGTTCTAATAATCTCCAACCCTTTTGTCAGATCTAAAACTAAGCACCCGCTGGGATTAACGAAGGAAATACATTAAGTTATGTTCATCGTTAATCAAATGTTCACTTCTTCAATAAGGTGGTATACATTAGAAGCTATAGAGGGTTCATACTTACATTGCACATTAAGGTCAGCACTAGTGTTGATTGGTAAACCCAAACCGTTGTCCGCTGAGCACCAATATTTTCCAGAATTATTCTTGAATGTAAGAAATTTCAGTACCTCCCCTGTGCCCACAATCTTGCCATCTTTATGCCACGTTATCATCGGGCTTGGATTCCCAGAAGCAGTGCAGTAGAATAAAGCTTCATGGCCTTCCATCACGGAGTGGTCAGTTGGTCGCCTTGTGAAATATGGCGGAACTGGGATATTTAATAAAACGATGTCAACATTACAGCTTATTCAGGTTTTATAGACCGCTGCTTAAAGGAGCTACGTCACGGTTTGCGTTTCTTGAAAAGTTTAGCCTAAATTTTTCAAGTTCGTCATTTGTAGCCCTTGTCAGTCTTCTCCATCCTTAACCATCCTTGTTCCTTTATGGTTTATTATTATCTCTTTGGCGTTTTTCTTTCTTAGTAAACTACTATTTTTCTATCATAGGTAACTAATATTTTAAGGTTTTTTTCAATTTAAAGGCAATTTTGTACATTTCCAAAATAACTGGAAATGTCGTGACCGAAGATAAACTAGCTAAGTCAGTTTAGCGTCTCTTCACCCCATCTACACTAATAGTAGATTCACCTCCACACTGCTCTTTCAATTAGCAGCCGAAAACAACGAGGCTCCGTTTTGACCTGTCTTCGCTAGTTCTACTGATCTGCGTTTTCAACAGTTTTCAGCTCGTGAAGAGTTTTCTCAAGTTTCCGTTTTTTTCGTCCGTTTATGAAGATCACGAGGACTTTCATAGTTTAATGCCCCGCCCACACCAATACTTTAATTGTCGTCGATGCGTTTTCGTCGTCAACACTGATACGATAGGAGCTCCGTTTTCAAATGTCTCCACCACGCTGGACAGCGTGTTCAAATCTTCGCGTTTTCGACTAGAAAACGGCGAGCATTTTCGATGGTATCGATTGAGACAATAGGTAAAATGGCATTACAGAAAATACATCTGAGCGAAAACGAGTTGGCATAGACGGAGCTGCAGTACGAATGTGCATCGAGAAGTATGCTTTTTTTAAACAAAATCTTGAATTGTAGTTTTTTCCTGTAATTCTCGTATGATAATACTTACATTGCACATTAAGATCGGCACTGGTTCTGATAGTGACATTTAGTCCATTCTGTGCCTCACACCAGTATCGTCCAGATTGAGAACGCCAAGTATTATCGAATCTTAGTGTGTTTCCTGTACGCACAATTGTTCCGTCTTTTAGCCAGGTTATCGTTGGTGTTGGGTTACCACTGGCGTTGCAATAGAATGTCACCCTTTCGTTTTCATTCGCTGATTGGTTCCTAGGTTTCGTTACGAAACTTGGCAGAACTATAAAGGGATAAAGAATTAAAAAATCTCAGAAACGCACCTGAGATACAATTATAAACAAAAAAGCATTCATGTATGACAGGATAAAATTCGGGACTATAGGAAAAACTGAAACTGAGTTGAGTAACTTGGGGATTGTGCCTAATTTGGGGTCCCTAGTTAAGCGCAACAGTAATCAATTGCAAATTGATTGCTTTAGAACCCATTGCACTCAGCCTAAGAAGAAATAATCGGTAAAGAAACTAAGATCTCGGGTTTTATATGAACAAATAGTGGCGATTGGTGTAATGTTATTATTTATTGCTATGAAGAATAGCAGTAGCATATCTAGTATTTCTATTATTCTTTTTCTGAAAATTTTAACCCACTTTTAGGTGGTGTTATTCTATTCCATGTTAGGTATGTACCAAACAATGTAACCAAAAAGAACTCTATCGCGATCCATTATTTCCCCTCCTAAATTTAAGTACCCGATAGTGTATAACAACTTGGAAGCGCGGTGGCCTCATGGTTACTGCGCTCGCCTCCAGATTGAGCGGTCGGATCGAGCCTTGGCCGGGAACATTGTGTTGTGTTCTTGGACAAGACACTTAACTCTCACAGTGCCTCTCTCCACCCAGGTTTATAAATGGGTACCAGCGAATTTAACGCCGGGGGGTAACTCCGCGATGGACTAGCATCCCATCCAGGGGGGGNATAAGCTCCGGCCTAATGGGTCACTTGGCTCGTAGACAGACTTTACCTTTACCTTAGTGTATAACAACTTGATATCTTACCAAGCACAACTGGAACTGTTGTTGCTGAATCTTGGCCCATCATGTTCTGAGCCTTGCAAGTGTAATTCACAGAATCCTTGGCCTTCTCTACTTTCTTAATCACCAGTGTACCGTCCTTTTGTAACGTATAGCGACTGTTCTCTCCATAAGAGATGAGGACACCATTCCTAAACCACTGGAACGTTGGTCGAGGCTCCGCACTCGGTTTGCACTGCAGTTTACCTTCATTACCATGCAACAGGGAAAAAGGACCAAACTGCCCATCGGCGAAGGACGGTTTCCAAGCTGTATGGTGAGAGAAAATCTAAAATCAGCAAACTTGAAAAGTTCTTAGGGTCTGGACACGAATAAACTTTGCGGAAAATGATAGATAATGTTGCAACCCTGAAATTGACATTGCATTCCAAATTCTGCGATATTGCGCACAACAATTTGCGCTTCCGTATCTTGGAGATTACGTGCAAACTGTGGTACAATTATCAGCCATTGCGCCCTCGTTATTCAATCTCTACCCTAAAGATCTCTTACTTTTTCACAGCTTTTCTCGTAAGTACTAGGATGCTCGGCACTGATTAATGCTCCCACGCAGGGGCTGGGCTGCCTACTCACTCGTTTTTTCCTTCCTTGTACTTGCTTTATCTCCCGTAAACTCTTAAATGCCATTTATATTATCCGTTGAACACCCTTGTTGAAAATGATAGATCAGTTTCCCCAGTGTTAGACGAGTGCATGATTATCTTTTAGAAAAGAAAAGCCGTATTACATGCATGTTCCATTACCTTTGACGTTAACCCAAGTCGCGGACACAAGCATTCCGTATTTATTTTCTACAGCGCACTGGTAAACACCATCATCGGTGAGATTTACATCTCTGAGATGTAATTTGCTTCCAGCCACTATCAAGTGATCACTGTAAAGTCAAAAATACATCCATAAACTGCTGAGCACAACACAATTTTGATTTAGCTTTTGCTGGCACTGTAAATCGAGTCCGGTCTTTCAAAGCTCACGTTTGCAAACTTGCAATTGATATTACATCAGAAGAGATTGGGACTGCTGTTCCGCGCAGTTAACAGAGACTCTCGTAAGTTTCAAACACTTTTCAGTGTGCCATGCAACTAAAATATAGTTTGGACAAAACAATCTGATCCCTTAAAACAGCATACTTATAACCTTTTTTTTGAAAACCGCCTCTATTTCCATGGCTATGATCATTTTGCATTGCAAACCATCATTTGCCAAGGATTAGCAAGAGGACGAAATTCCTATGTCTAGAAGGTCCGAGAATGGCTGGAAATTTAATACCTTCAAATTGGGTACTTTTCCCTCATGATCAGAGTAGACTGTCGAGTAAAAGGGCGGGAAAAGTCAGTAAACACTTGCTTTCTTTGTGGGTGACAACGATGTGAACTACATGTATCCTGCCGGAGGGGGGAGGGGAGGAGGGACCCCGATGTAAAAAGGGCGGAAGCTCGTCGATAGATTTAAATTAAAGCCCTAATAGCTCGAGGCTTAAATGACCCTAAAAGATACCACTTTAAAACGAACAGATAGGGGTTTTTTTATATTGTCATTTGTGAAAGTGCAATCCTAGAAGATACCTTGACGGCTAAGAATAGTGGCGTTTTGTCGTCAACACCTTAAGTGAGGCCAAAATCCGTGGTTTACACCGCTAAAGAGACGACGAACATCCCCGACATTTTAACATGAGATCCGCCCCCATTCCAACCCCCGCCCGCGCCCCACTGAGGTATCCGGGAACTGCTCGACTAAATTTACAAGGAAACAAAGCATTCAATCTCCAAAGTCAAGTTACCTTGATGATTGCAATGGTTTTCCATTTTTATACCACGTGATTGCTGCTTCAGGATCTGCCGTCACTGTACAGTCTATAGTTTCATTTCGTTCGATGATAACATCACTCTTCCTTGGTGGAAGGCCCTTAGTCCATCTTGGAGGAACTGAAGAAAAACGTAAAATCGTTGAGTTTGTAACTTGCTTTTTTAATCTTGCCGAATTAAGTTTGAGTGTTCATGCGCGAGTACAACTAATACACAAATAAATGTATAGGAGCTGGATGTGTAACGCCGCCAAAACTGAGATACTCAATACGCTCTCGCATTTTGTGTGTCTCCTTTTCATATATTTTCGGATGTCGGATGACGCTAGAGTTGAATTACAATCATTATAAATTATACGCTGTTTAAGGTGGCTCTATAAACTTGCAAGTCTGATGGCAAAACTCTGGTTTGTGACCATTTAAACGAAAGCTATTGAGCAGCACTTTCTTGTGTTATTGTTTATTATGCTGTACAAGGTGGTTCTAACTTTTAAGACTGTGGGTGAAACCCTAGTGTGTGACCATTCAAATGAAATCTATCGAGCAATACCTTCATGTGATACTGTTTATTATGCTATACAAGGTGGTTCTAACTTTTACGTCTGTGGATGAAACCCTAGTGTGTGACCATTCAAATGGAAGCTATTGAGCAGTACTCTCATGTGGTACTGTTTATTATGCTGTACAAGTTGGTTCTAACTTTTAAGTCTGTGGATGAAGCCGTAGTAAGTGACCATTCGTAATTATAAAAGCTACCGAGTAGTGCAAGATTGTTCGTTTGTGCATGAATCCTTCGAGTACGACCATTCCAATAAAAGCTATCGACCGCACTTAAACAGGTACTGTTTATTATGCCTCGTTTTTTCCGAGTGCAAATCATTCGAATACTTCACGTTGAAAGTCAAGTAAACGTTCAAGTATTAGAGGAGCCCCAAGTACATGCATAACAAAAGCTAGTTACCTTTCACTACCAAGTTGATGGTGCGAATTAACGGCTGATCATTACTCAGAGAATTTGTAGCCTCACAAGTGTACACATCTTGATGAATTGTCTTGCTCACATTAGTGATGGTCAGAAGTCTTCCATGGTAGTGGCTTGGGATCTCAAAGGAATTCTGCCCAGAGACAATCTGTCGTCCATTTTTCTTCCAAGTTATGGTGGGTGGCGGTCTGCAAGTAATGTGTTCTATAAATCATTAATTATCATGAACAAAGTAATCTCAAGCTTTTATAAAACGTTCGTACTCAAGCTACTTTAGATTCGAGTTAATTTGTTGGTTAATAACTAAATGACAAGTCACCACACAAAATTCAATGCTGTGATTTTCAACCGTCGCAGTTGCACCCAAACAACCATCAGATATCAAGACTGAAAAAGTACCTTTTCTCCGATGTTATTACGTATTACCGTTCTAACACGAATTCCGTTCTCTTATAGGTTACGCTACTCACTATCTATTCTGTTGTAGATAGTGAGTACCCTAGCAGTGTGCGGTTGCAAACAAAATGGCGGCCGCTTCCTTGAGTTTTCTAAAGTGCCTGTGTGAGAAAGCTGCACCCTTGCCAACTATCACGCGATAGAAATCAAGAGTGAATAATCTAATAGTTCATTAATTACGTATGCAGTGTATGTGACATTATGCTCTCCTTGAATTGGACAGCTTATCCACGATGTATGTAATTACTCTCGTTATATTTCACGAGACAAGGCATACTTACTTTCCATAAGCCATACAATAGAGGGTTTTACTTTTTCCTTCTATGGCCATTTGTTCTTTTTCGGGAACCTCTGCCCAGCTAGGCAAAATGTTAGTGTTGGGGTCTGGGGAAAGATTAATAAGTTCTTTACTTGTAAGTTCACTAACTAAAAGTCGAAAGAATAAATTAACAAGTTAGGGGACTTCAGATTTGAGCACGAGTAGGAGATCTAGTAAGATTAGGACTTTTCAATAGACCTTTTTAGTTTGGGCGGTTTGTTGTCCCATTTCAGACCATGTGATGATACTCTTGAGAANCGGGCGCAGTCGCCATATGCAAGGCGGACATAACCATATGAAAAGGTGATTTCAAATATTTACAAGTGATTTCAATTCTGTCACGTTATACTACTTACAGAACACATGAAGATACGCATTTGCTTTGACGCCTGCACTTAAACCGTTGTCCGCTGAACACCAGTATCGTCCGGCATGACTCCTCAAGGCGACAAAGGTCAGTTTGCTTCCTGTCCCCACATTCCGCCCATCCTTAGTCCATGTTATCTTCGGGGTTGGGTTTCCAGTGGCACTGCATTGAAGTGTCACTGTAGTGTTCTCGACCACTCTCTGGTCTCGTGGTTTGGCGATTAAACGTGGCTGAACTGTGAATATATAGCGAAAGTCTATGGGTACATGGAAGACAATACACTAGTCGGTTGAAAAAAGGGCCGTTCCACCTCGGACGTAAGGCTAATTGTAAACAGCGGAAAGAGACTTTTAATTGATTCGACAAATTGTATTTAATGGTGCATGGAGATAAAAAAAGAACAAGAATCTGAGAGTAAATAGAAATTCAATTTGATCAAACCCCGTGTCATCTTTAATTTGCATGAATCTGTAAACCCGCGTAGAAAAAAAAAACGCAAAAATAGTTCCATGAACTTAAGTTTTCTGTCAATAGCTCGAACTTGAACAATGCAAGTTAGTTCCTTAATTACCTCAATTTATCCCCTTCCTGTGGGGTACGTTCTCCCATTCCAGTTTTATTTTAAACTGTGTCTTAATCAAGAATATCAGGTGTACCAATCACGACATTTGTTGTAATATATGCATAACATTACGACTTGAATCGGAAATAGGTCAGAAGCTCATTTGCTTGGCCAAACAAAGTTCTAATAATCTCCAACCCTTTTGTCAGATCTAAAACTAAGCACCCGCTGGGATTAACGAAGGAAATACATTAAGTTATGTTCATCGTTAATCAAATGTTCACTTCTTCAATAAGGTGGTATACATTAGAAGCTATAGAGGGTTCATACTTACATTGCACATTAAGGTCAGCACTAGTGTTGATTGGTAAACCCAAACCGTTGTCCGCTGAGCACCAATATTTTCCAGAATTATTCTTGAATGTAAGAAATTTCAGTACCTCCCCTGTGCCCACAATCTTGCCATCTTTATGCCACGTTATCATCGGGCTTGGATTCCCAGAAGCAGTGCAGTAGAATAAAGCTTCATGGCCTTCCATCACGGAGTGGTCAGTTGGTCGTCTTGTGAAATATGGCAGAACTGGGACATTTAATAAAACAATGTCAACATAACAGCTTATTCAGGTTTTATAGACTGCTGCTTAAAGGAGCTACGTCATGGTTTGCGCATCTTGAAAAGTTTAGCCTAAATTTTTCAAGTTCGTCGTTTGTAACCCTTGTCAGTCTTCTCCATCCTTAACCATCCTTGTTCCTTATGGTTTATTATTATCTCTTTGGCGTTTTTCTTTCTTAGTAAACTACTATTTTTCTATCTTAGTTAACTAATATTTTAAGGTTTTCTCCAATTTAAAGGCAATTTTGTACGTTTCCAAATAACTCGAAATGCCATGACGGAAGCTAAGCTAGCTAAGCCAGTTTAGTGTCCCTTCATCCATCTGCACTAATATTATTTTCGCCTCCACACTGCTCTGTTCATTGTTAGGCGGAAGCAACGGGGCTTCGTTTTGACCTGTCTTTGCTAATTCCACTGAGTATCGTTTTCAACAGTTTTCAGTTCGTGAAGAGTTTTCTCAAGTGTCCGTTTTTATTCTGTCCATTTATAAAGATGACGAGGGCTTTCAAAATTTTATGCCCCGCCCACACCAATACGTTAACTGTCGCCAATGCGGTTTCGTCGTGAACACTGATACGATGGGGGTTACATTTTCAAATGTCCCCACCACGCTTGTCAGCGTGTTAAAATCTTCGCGTTTTCGATCGTATCGATTGAGACAATAGGTAAAATGGCATTGACGAAAATACATCTGAGCGAAAACAAGTTGGCATAGACGGGGCATCAGTGCGAACGCGCATCAAGAGGTATGCTTTTTTAAACAAAATCTTGTGGACTTTTCCTTTAATTCTCGCACATGTTTATACTCACATTGCACATTAAGATCAGCGCTGGTTCTGATAGTGACATTTAGTCCATTCTGTGCCTCACACCAGTATCTTCCAGATTGATAACGCCAAGTACTATCGAATCTTAGTGTGTTCCCTGTACCCACAGTTGTTCCGTCTTTTAGCCAGGTTATGGTTGGTGTTGGGTTACCACTGGCGTTGCAATAGAATGTCACCCTTTCGTTTTCATTCGCTGTTTGGTTCCTAGGTTTCGTTACGAAACTTGGCAGTACTATACAGGGATAAAGAATTAAAAAATCTCAGAAACGCACCTGAGACACAATTATGGACGAAAAAGCATTCATGTATGACATGATAAAATTCGGGACTATAGGAAAAACTGAAACTGAGTTGAGTAACTTGGGGATTGTGCCTAATTTGGGGTCCTTAATTAAGCGCAACAGTAATCAGTTGCAAATTGATTGCTTTAGAACCCATTGCACTCAGCCTAAGAAGAAATAATCGGTAAGGAAACTAANACGTATAGCGACTGTTCTCTCCATAAGAGATGAGGACACCATTCCTAAACCACTGGAACGTTGGTCGAGGCTCCGCACTCGGTTTGCACTGCAGTTTACCTTCATTACCATGCAACAGGGAAAAAGGACCAAACTGCCCATCGGCGAAGGACGGTTTCCAAGCTGTATGGTGAGACAAAATCTACAATCAACAAACTTGAAAAGTTCTTAGGGTTCGGACACGTATAAACTTTGCAAAAAATGCTATACAATGTATGAAACCATGAAATTGACATTGCATTCCTAATTCTGCGATATTGCGCACAACAGTTTGCGTCCTCCGTATCGTGGAGATTTGCGTGCAAACTGTGGTACAATTATCAGCCATTGCGTTCTCGTTATCCAGTCTCTCCCCAAAGATCTCTTACTTTTTCACACTTTTCTCGTAAGTATTGGGATCCTCGGCACCGATTTATGCTCCCACGTAGAGGCTGGGCAGCCCACTCGTTTTTTTTTTTCCCTTGCCCTTGTGTTATCTCCCGTAAACTCTTAAATGTCAATCATATTATCCGTTGAACACCCTTGTTGAAAATGATAGAGCAGTTTCTCCAATGGTAAACGAGTGCATGATTATCTTTTAAAAAAAACACCCGTATTACATGCATGTACCATTACCTTTGACTTGAACCCAAGTCGCAGACACAAGCATTCCGTATTTGTTTTCTGCAGCACATTGGTAAACACCATCATTGGTGAGATTTACATCTCTGAGATGTAATTTGCTTCCATCCACTATTAAGTGAACACTGTAAAGTCAAAAACACATCCATAAGCTGCTAAGCACAACACAATTTAGCTTTTGCTGGCTCTGTAAATTCCGCCACTCTCTCAAGTCCGGTCATTGTTCCTGGAACAAAGTAATATTTTCCAAGTTGAAAAATGAAGTAGAAGTTAACTTGGGCAATGCTGATCTTCACTCTTAACCGGCATACTTTTAAATATTTCTTGAAAATAGCCTCTGTTTACATGGCCATGATCATTTTTCGTTGCAAACCATCATTTGCCTAGGGTCATCGAAAGGCCGAAATTCCTATTTCTGGAAGGTCCGAGAATGGCTGGAAATTTAATGCCTTTAAATTGGGTACTTTTCTCTCGTGTTGAGAGTAGACTGTCGATTGATTAAAAGGGCGGGAAAAGCAGTAAATACTTGCTTTCTTTGAGGTGACAACCATGTAAACTGCATGTACATGTATATTGCGGGGAGAGGGGAGAGGGACCCCATTGTAAAAAGGGCGGAAGGTCGTCGGTAAATTTAAATTAAACTCCTAAAAGAAAGCAATCTGGGCGTGGTTCGAAGCTTAGATGACCCTAAAAGGTACCACATATATATAGTGATTTTTAATCATTTATTAACGTGCAATCTTAAAAGATACGTAGACGAATAAAGCCTGGTTTTCACTAGCGACGCAAGAACAAGCGCAAGCACAAACGCAAGCAATAGGGATGACCCAAGTGAAAACGAAATTCGACGCAAACGAAAGCACAAGCAAAATCATCCAAGCCTTCCGCATTTTGGGAAACTGTTTAAGCGCGAGGTAATCTGGCTCCAGTGTTTTTATTGGCCAAACATAACCAAGTGTAGTAAATATCCTTTTGCTTGTGTTATGCCTGAGCGGTATTTCTTTTTCACTTGTTGCAGCGCAAACGCAAGCATAAGCGCAAGCACAAGAAAAAGGAAAAATTTTGATCGTGTGCTTGTTCTTGTGCTTGTGCTTATGCCTGCGTCGAGGCCGTTTTCACAATGAAATAAGAATTATTGTGTTTGCGCTTGTGCTTACGTCGCTAGTGAAAACCAGGCTTAAGAATAGTGGCGTTTCGTCGTCAACACCCTAACTGAGACCAAAATCCATGATTCACATCCCAAAAGAGACGACGAACATCCACGACTTTTTCACATTAGANAATAATCAAGAACTATCTGACGATACAATTGCTCGACAAGAGGGAAGATCAATTGTTCACAACCAAAAGATAAACACTGGTCTGAATGACCCTGATAAACAAGGAGAAATGTGTAACAACTCATCATTACTACTGGGAGAAGCCACTGCTTCTCCACTACCACCAACCCCCCCCCCCCCCCCCCCCCCTTCCCCTCAGTGAGGTATCTGGGAACTGTTCAACTAAATGTACAAGGAAACAAAGCGTTACATCTCCAAAGTCAACTCACCTTGATGATTGCAATGGTTTTCCATTTTTAAACCACATGATTGTTGCTTCAGGATCTGCCGTCACTGTACAGTCTATAGTTTCATTTCGTTCAATGATAACATCACTCTTCCTTGGTGGAAGGCCCTTAGTCCATCTTGGAGGAACTGAAGAAAAACGCAAAATCGTTGAGGCTGTAACTTGCTTTTTTAATCTTGCCGAATTAAGTTTGAGTGTTCATGCGCGAGTGCAACTAATACACAAATAAATGTATAGGAGCTGGATGTGTAACACCGCCAAAACCGAGATACTCAATACGCTCTCGCATTTTGTGTGTCTCCTTTTCATATATTGTCGGATGTCGGATAACGCTAGAGTTGAATTACAATCATTATAAATTATACGCTGTTTAAGGTGGCTCTATAAACTTGCAAGTCTGATGGCAAAACTCTGGTTTGTGACCATTTAAACGAAAGCTATTGAGCAGCACTTTCTTGTGTTATTGTTTATTATGCTGTACAAGGTGGTTCTAACTTTTAAGACTGTGGGTGAAACCCTAGTGTGTGACCATTCAAATGAAATCTATCGAGCAATACCTTCATGTGATACTGTTTATTATGCTATACAAGGTGGTTCTAACTTTTACGTCTGTGGATGAAACCCTAGTGTGTGACCATTCAAATGGAAGCTATTGAGCAGTACTCTCATGTGGTACTGTTTATTATGCTGTACAAGTTGGTTCTAACTTTTAAGTCTGTGGATGAAGCCGTAGTAAGTGACCATTCGTAATTATAAAAGCTACCGAGTAGTGCAAGATTGTTCGTTTGTGCATGAATCCTTCGAGTACGACCATTCCAATAAAAGCTATCGACCGCACTTAAACAGGTACTGTTTATTATGCCTCGTTTTTTCCGAGTGCAAATCATTCGAATACTTCACGTTGAAAGTCAAGTAAACGTTCAAGTATTAGAGGAGCCCCAAGTACATGCATAACAAAAGCTAGTTACCTTTCACTACCAAGTTGATGGTGCGAATTAACGGCTGATCATTACTCAGAGAATTTGTAGCCTCACAAGTGTACACATCTTGATGAATTGTCTTGCTCACATTAGTGATGGTCAGAAGTCTTCCATGGTAGTGGCTTGGGATCTCAAAGGAATTCTGCCCAGAGACAATCTGTCGTCCATTTTTCTTCCAAGTTATGGTGGGTGGCGGTCTGCAAGTAATGTGTTCTATAAATCATTAATTATCATGAACAAAGTAATCTCAAGCTTTTATAAAACGTTCGTACTCAAGCTACTTTAGATTCGAGTTAATTTGTTGGTTAATAACTAAATGACAAGTCACCACACAAAATTCAATGCTGTGATTTTCAACCGTCGCAGTTGCACCCAAACAACCATCAGATATCAAGACTGAAAAAGTACCTTTTCTCCGATGTTATTACGTATTACCGTTCTAACACGAATTCCGTTCTCTTATAGGTTACGCTACTCACTATCTATTCTGTTGTAGATAGTGAGTACCCTAGCAGTGTGCGGTTGCAAACAAAATGGCGGCCGCTTCCTTGAGTTTTCTAAAGTGCCTGTGTGAGAAAGCTGCACCCTTGCCAACTATCACGCGATAGAAATCAAGAGTGAATAATCTAATAGTTCATTAATTACGTATGCAGTGTATGTGACATTATGCTCTCCTTGAATTGGACAGCTTATCCACGATGTATGTAATTACTCTCGTTATATTTCACGAGACAAGGCATACTTACTTTCCATAAGCCATACAATAGAGGGTTTTACTTTTTCCTTCTATGGCCATTTGTTCTTTTTCGGGAACCTCTGCCCAGCTAGGCAAAATGTTAGTGTTGGGGTCTGGGGAAAGATTAATAAGTTCTTTACTTGTAAGTTCACTAACTAAAAGTCGAAAGAATAAATTAACAAGTTAGGGGACTTCAGATTTGAGCACGAGTAGGAGATCTAGTAAGATTAGGACTTTTCAATAGACCTTTTTAGTTTGGGCGGTTTGTTGTCCCATTTCAGACCATGTGATGATACTCTTGAGAA